CTCCCAGGGGGCCTGTCCAGTTGGAGAAAACCATGATATAAGGCTTCCGAGAGTGCCCTTCTAGTGGAAAATTATGCTGATGAAGTGCCCTCTAGGGCAGCCTTCACGAGTTGGACAAACCACAATAATCGGCCATCTATGCTGCCTTCCAGTGGGAGAAAAGTTGTCCGCTCTAAGGGTCTAATCCTAACTTGCGCCTGCCTGAATACATCAACTACACCTGAATATCTGCTGTGGAGTGGTTGTCGGTATGGTAATGTAGCGCAGCGTGTGGACAAAGAAAGAGAATGTATGAAAGTGGTTCCTGTTGCACATTGATTTTGGCTGGAGGTCTGCTAATATGTCAGGTAGGTCATCGACATGTTATAGTTTTCTCCGGGAGTTGCCACCCTTCCCTGATTTTAAAAGGATAGGATGGTTTCATCAGAGCCTGTCATCTAACTGAAGATAATGGTAGGCAACCTGCGATCAGGATCTCTGTCTCCTGGTGAAGTGCCTGGTATGTGGCAGTGCCTGTCCCTAAAACAAACCAGAGCCAGAGACCCAGTTGGAGCGATCACGGCTCCACAGGATGTCACAGGCCTTGCCTGCCCGCTGCTGCAGTCGGACAGGCGGTGATAGTTTACCTCTGATTAGCGTCCTGTTACATCTGGAGTTAAGGCAGAATGCGTAAACTATGCTGATTGGTGGGAGCGGGTCAACACCAGTGCTGCGCTTGTGATGCACTTATGCTGCTGATATCCAGTCCCAGCGGCGGGGGGCTGGGACAAACCGACGGCATAGAAGGGCAGAGTTCGTGCAGGCTCTCCGGCTCCCACGTGACCTGCAGAGCTGACTTATTCCCTGCTATGACTCTACAAGAGAATCACGCTTGTCATGGGCGCGATCAGTTGTCATTGACGGCGCATGGACCATGATACATCGTAGGGCGAGACTTATTGCCAAAGCTGCACTTGACAAGAAGAGAAAAATACAACATGCAGCTGAGCTCCAAACAAGTCAAGCTGGCCACAGCCAGGGTCTCGAGTATCAACAAAAGCAGTCTAGGACATCTCATTATGAGCGCGCCAGCAATAATTTTCAGAAGTACCTTTTTTTTGATTTCAACTACAGCTTATATGATACCATCATATTCCGTAGACTTTTCGCTTATATTTATGGTGTATCATAAATGTACCTTGTCAGATGAGCATACTGCAATCCTGTATTATATCTGTGAGAATATAACATGATCAGCTTACTCGTTCAGTGTCATGGATTGTGACAATATTTGAGGCTTAACAGCAGTAGAGAATTATTAAGACTTAGGTACACTACTGTGTTTTTCATTTTTATCATAAGCAAACGCAGTCTATTGTTTGATTCATATGAAATTGTATGTTTATCATCTGCGTATAGAGAAAAATAAGAATGATAGAATTCGTCGTGTGGATCTCAGATTGTGCTTAACGTTGTATATCTTAACTTTGATATGGAGAATGGAGAACATTGAGATACAACTAACAACATGTTAGATATGTGCATCGGAGTGCGACCCTATGGAATAAATAACCCAATTTAATGCATAACCAAGAGTATCGATGGCCAGTATCTAGCTAACAACTGGCTCTAACTATCTATGCCAGAAGGTGAATGATTATGCACACAACCTTTAAATATTATGGTATTTGGCATATCTATTCGTCATATTGAGAGGGCAAGATAAATGGAATCGATGGAAATTGATTGTTCCTACATCATTGGACCATTCTAAAGTAGACTAGATCACGTCATTATAAAAACCATATAATATATAGACTCGACCAGAATGAATGGACAATAAGTGTATAGGCACCAGAAAATGCATTGAACTGACTCTCGAGCTGCAGCCCACATAGTGCTAAGGATCAGACAAATGATTCAAATACTGTGCACATGTAATATGAAAAAAAAAATTCAAATCCCACACAAACGTTAAGATTAACACCACAGACTATGAGTGCGATCTAGAAGTCAATGGTAAATCCATACACATACGTGTAATGTGAGAATGTATTTTATAGCAAGTCATTTCCCTCTTTGAGCATGTGACAGGAATAAAACTATCACACACACCTATTGATTAGAGATGCTGTTTTGAATTCTAGTAAAATAGATGGACTTAATGTCAGTCCCCTGTGCTAATCCATACTGGCAAGTCAATGTGTGTGTGACAGTGCCCATCCAGTCCATCGATACTCCTAAGGAGGAAAATCTTAACCATCAAGTGTGATATTGATCAGCATCAAGCATGCCATTATTATAAAAATAAACATTGTGATAAATTAATTTACAGTTTTATATCTCTCGCAAAATGAATGCATCCTAGAGAGAGAATCAACTCTGGGTTACACGTTAAGATTAGAAAGAGTTCGTCCACGCTAGATATAAAAACTGTGTATAAAAACAACGCAACCAAAAGCTTACAGCGCTTCAGTTACATTTAGAAATAAACAAAGCTAATTGTTATTGATATTGTCGAAGACTCGAACTAATTACCAGGCAGCATGGCCAAATCTCAGTGTTTTGTTTGTAATTATTTTCATACAATTTATATTTTTTTTTTTTTTACTATGTTAATGTTAATATTACTTATCTTTGACGTTCTATAGAAAATATTCTAATTGAATAAATACTTATTTGTTTTAAACGGTCATTCTCTACTAGCTCTAATAATTCTTAGACCGACAGGGAGCAAAGTGTTTTAAAGAGGGGAAGCATTTGGTGTGCAGGTGTGCTGTGTGGCAAATGGCAAATAAGTTTAGCATGTCAGGTAGCGAGGGCCGCACGAGCAGAAAAATTTGCCTTAGGGCCCCAGGGCCTGACACCCAAATGCTCCCTCCTTTAAAACACTTTGCTCCCTGTCAGTCTAAGAATTATTAGAGCTAGTAGAGAATGAGGTTTAAACAAATAAGTATTTATTCAATAGAATATTTTCTATAGAATCTAAAGATAAGTTAATATTAACATTAACATAGTAAAAAATATAAATGTAGAAAATAATACAAACAAAACACTGAGATTTGGCCATGCTGCCTGGTAATTAGTTCAGTCTTCACAATATCATACAATTAGCTTTGTTTATACAATGTAAACTGAAGCCTGTAAGCTTTGATTGCAGCTTTAAGTCTCAAAATATCTGCGACAAGCCCTTCAAACTAAGTACCCAGAGTTTCTTTTATACATTTTCAAATATAAACTAATACTATTTATACTATGGCTTGACTGAATAATTGATGGTTAACATTTACTTAGAGATGTGCAACCATATTGCCCAGTATGCCCTGCTAGTCAACATTTTAAATTCAAGATCTAATCAATAGTCAATGTCAATACATTGCTTTACATCTCACATTACAGAGTTGTAACTAAACCTTGACTGAGAGACCATAGCTGTTGTGTGTAACAGGGTGGGGATGAAATGTCATATTCACAGTATTTGACTTTCTGACCAAAGTGGCTGCAGCTCCACCATCACTGCATCTGTTCCACACAATTATTAACACTGTCAACTTTAACAAAATGCTTAAAGACTATGTTAACTTTAGCTAGCATGATTAAAATCATGCAACTTTCAGCTCTTCAATGTATGCCATACATTTTTAAATGTTTCCTTACTTCTGATGTGTTTTTGTAGCAACTGATTACCTGCATTTATTTATTCCCTGAGTCAACACATAAAATGGTTTGTTGTTTTTTTCTTCTCCAACAAGTTAAGTATACAACTAGCCATTGATCCATATCTCATTCACTAATTTTCTCTTCCTCCAGATGAACTACACTGTATCATGATCTTGCTATGAAAAAATGAAAACACAGTGGTGCACCTAGTTATAAATTTCAAGCCCATTAATACTAAGGACGAGTACTGATATGAGTACCAATTATCAACTTATTACCAAGTAATTATTACCAAGTATCAGTACGGATAAGCAACATTTGTGTTGATAAAATCTTGACAATATGCATCCCTAATTGGGATAACTGCTGATAAACGAGATGGAGTCATTTTACTCACCCAGTCTTGGCAAAGTTGGTCCAGTAGGTCATGACCACAGCACTGAGCATGACATCATTCTTTGAGAAGTTACAGGGGAAAAGGTCAGTGGGACCAATCATAGGAATTCCAAAAACATAGGGCACCTCGTCCCCGTGGGCGGCGTCTGACCAGGCTGGCTTCATCAGACTCTGGCAGTGGTGGTAGAAGGCGTAGAAGTAGGTGGGTGAGCCGTAGCGAGCATGGAGATCAGCCGTCACCACGGATGGCTCCACCCACTGGTGGTCAGTAAAAAGAGCCACCAGCGTCTTGCGCCTGGTCTCTGGATTGTCTCTGTCTGCCCAGTCTGTGTACATGAACTTAATGGTCTCCCTCAGGGTGTCCTTGCCCTCTGGGTACCCGTACAGACTATCCACAAAGTCTGACACGGAGAAGTCAAAGTCATTTCCAGACACACCGTCCTCTGAATCCACCACGTTCTCCACAAACCGCAGCCCCTCGCCCTGGTTAACCCCCAGCATGATGTCGTAGTTGAGGAACTCGCCCTGCTCCATCAGGATCTCGGGGTCATCAGGGATGACATCACCATCAATTACAGGTCCAAAGGCCACGTGGTACCTCGCTGGTTGTATGTCCTGCTCCACCAGCTCCCTGGAGCTCTTCTTCCTCAGACAGTCCACCATGTCTAAGGTGTCTAGGACATTACAACCCACCTTCTCCGCCAAGAGACGTGTATACTTGACCGGCTGGTAGTTTACCGCCCAGCTGGAGAGAGCTGACCCACTCTGAATTATGGCTCTGTGGAACAGACCTGCACAAGGACACAGGAAGAAGAGACAGGATGATGTTTAGTGTGTCACTATTACAGAGGATAATTCAGTTATGTGCTATACTACATGATAATTTTTAATTTTGTTTCTGCCATGACCAAAAGGGGGCTGTCAGCTACACAGCTGATAAGAATAACAAAGGCCAGACAGAACAAGTCCTTGTTGCCACACAGAACAATAATGGAATCATGGCTGCGATAATGAATGTGCAGATGGCCCGGTCTCACAGACAGCTCACAGACAGAGGAGGGAATCAGCACTCTGTCTGTCATCTTCTTTTCTTCCATCCATCTCTATATATTCTTTTGGTAATCATCTCTGTATGTTTGTCAGGAGCAGAGACTACCAATATGGCTCTATAGGCTTTTTTGAAAATAGAGAATGCAATCAGGATGCTAAAACGGACTATACCATACCAATAATTCCTTTGCTTGTATGAAATGCAGGAGTCTGATTTAAGTGTTCTTGAATATATGAACCCTGTGCATATGCCCTCCCTCTGGTAATGTACTTTTCAAGGTAGCTTACATTGGATGAACCTCAAACACTGCAATTATAGACACAGATGCTCCTTTTTGCAGTCATTACACACTCTCACACAGTGCCTCTGCATCAGTTATGCCATGTGTGAGTTAAAAGTCATTTTTTTTACCTGAAAGATCACTAAATTCTACAGGAGTTTGTGGGTGGATTGCTATAAATAAAACTAGACTCCTACTCCCTTCATTTGCAGAAGAAATGGAGCTGCACATATTCACCCGGCAATACAATGCAACATGGTGGCACACAATGAAAGAAGACCAAGCTGAACCGAACACCATGGTCTCCTGCTTGTAATATACAGAAATAGAGACTAAGAGTCAACAGACCATCTATTATGTGAATCTACATAGGAGTTTGGCATTTGTGTGCGTGTGGGCTTTAGAGGGGGTGGAGGGGGTTCAGAAACCAAGGCGAACAAATCTACAGTCTCATGGGGTGCTCGCACAAATTAAATTACATTTTGGTTGCAGTGCAGTATGAAGGGAATCTAAAATGACTTTTCACTACAAGGAACAGATCCCAAATAACAAACATCATTTCCTCAGAAATAATTGAATTGCGTCCCCTTTGAAAAATGTCTCCTTACAGACAGAAGAGTGAAGGTGACGTGACATCCTCTCTGTCTCGGGTAGGCCAATGTCACATCATTACCAATGCCTTGCAGTCTCGGACAGCACCACTCATCCTCCTGATATGGTTTTAAAAATCACAAGTGCTGTTTTATCAGTCTCAGAGAAAATCAGAGGTGAAGCTTCCACCACTTGACCATGCCGCTTTGTTGCTCATGGCAGTTTCTCTGCCAGAGTCAAGGAATACCACTGAACTCATGATATTGAAAGCAACAGCAGATGAAATGCTTCCGAAATGGCACGCATAAAAAAAAGTCATTAGATGATTCCACATTTAAGCCACGAAGACTAGCAGAGAAATATACAGGCACGCAGACTCAGTTTGTGATTTCAGCGTCAGTGTGGGTGGCTGTGTTGAAGTCTTTGTGTTTATGAGGTAAACAGCAGACTTAAGTGCCAGATATATCACTTTGGTAGTCTTAATCAGAGGCGGCGGGGGGCTTATTTCTTCTTGGCGAAGATGAAGTGTTTATTTACAGAGCTATTTACATTTATTTGTTTGCAAGTAGTAAGTAGAATTAATGTGTCTGGGTGAGTGAACTGTGAAATGTTTCTGTGGTGAGTGTGTTTAGTCTAAGCCACAATTTGTGTATTTGAACAATGATTTGGGGTCTGAATGTAGCTATTGGAAGATTTCAACAGATGTCTGAATATAAGGTTTTGATTTAACAATTTTGATTTCTGATTTTAAAAATTCTTTTGTTTTTCTGTATCATGTTTCTCATTCTATGTAGATGGGACCATCAGCTTGCCCTGCTGCTGCTCTTCGAGTTGTCCTGTGGTTGTGCGTCTCTGCAGGACAGTGGCCTGTGCCGTGTCCCAGCGAGCGGAAGCAGATGTCGAGGGTTTCACCCACTTGAAAGCATTAGAGGGGCAGCCGCAAGATGAAAGATGGCCACTCGGAGGCAGAGAGGGGGGCTGGGGCTTAATCCTGCCATCCCTCCCTTCTCCTCCTCCCCTCCCCTCCCTTCCCCTCCCCTCACTCTTTAGTGGTATTGCCTCTCTTCACATCTCAACTCAGATTGCGCTGTGCAAACAGAGCCAGTCATGGTGCAGGGAGTCTGTCCTGAATCCCAATGCTGCCAGCCATGCCACAGCCACTTTCTAAATGTCTTTGATCAGAAGTTGCTGTAGGAAAACGTTTGCCAGCAGAGCAGCTCCTCTGATTGCCAAGGCGATTTGACAGACATACCTATATCAAATCCGTTTGCCGTAATTGAGGAGAGCGGCTTGAATGCAACTAGGCTTGGTCCCCTGTCCGTTTGCACCCAAACGCACACATGTCCAACTGCTGAGGAGGCTGCATCCAGGTTGACACTTCTAGATTTATTTCCCGCTTTGGTTGATGAAAGGAAGGAAGAGTGACTGAGGCTTTACTATTGTTTGTGGAGAAACATATAAATCCAGCGCACATGGGCTGTCACCGGGCCGATAAATATGTATTAGAGCTGTGTGTGATGAGCCCCGCTGTGGTAGGAAGCTCACTGGGGAAGGTCAGAGAGAGAGGAGAGAAGAGCACAGGGTCTATCACCCACTGAGGGAATCCACTAATTATCCACACTGGGAGGTGTACGTGCGTGCCTGAGTGCATGTGTGTGTGCATGCACGTGTATTTGTGCTGACTTTGATTGATAAGATACAGAGATGATGAATAGACCGACAGACGACAGGCATCATCATGATGGGGGTTAACCATTTGTGACACTGTTTTGTCTTGAGCATCTACTCTAATGTCTATGTAACAATTACTCAACATCCCGACGAATTAAAAAGAAAGAGCGTGATGCAAAGGCATCAAACACGTGTGTCACATTCATATCTAGCATGTTTTACTTTGTAAAAGCAACAGATAGCCCTGAAATTATCTGCCTGTGTTTGACATCCGAGGACCCGACATCCAAACTGTGAGCAGATCCATCAAACCATAGCGTTGCTGGCAGATTGAGGTCACACTGAATTATGACTGGAGCTCAGGGGTAATCACTCATTGGGTCCCTGCTAAAATGCTGCCGCGACGCTCTGCAGCCGCCTCTGCGCTGCGGTTTGTCGACCTCGACCGCGCTGCCCCCTCACTAGATACCCGTTAAATGGGCATGCGGTTCAGGCCCAGGATTGGTGGAGTGGCTTGTAGAGATAATTCACCGCTGATAGGAAAAAAAAAAAAGCTTGACCTTGGGGGTATCATGACCACTGCATAGGTTAGAGAGCCACAGTCGACACACACTTAAACATTCCAGCTGGCTCAAACAAACACACACACACACACACACACAAATTGAGGCTATGCTTTGACAACAGCAATATGGATGAAATGCTGATATTAACAGGCCAATGCTGCTTCACTGGAGAGAGAGTAACATGACTTGGCTGTGCTTTGGATCACTGCTGATGTATTACGTGGCAACTATGGGAATGTGCCTGTTTAGTCCGTGTTAATGGACAAGGATGCTCTGCTGGTGATGATGCCAGTAAGCGCCATAAATGACTGTACTTTGTAATCTGGAACAGCTGGCGAAAATCACTGAAGCATCAGCGGTGAGTTTTATCAGTCTGGCCCTGAGATAAATGTGACTGTAAAGTGCATCCTGCAAAACCACTACAACCTTAACAATGTCATCCAAAAAAAAAAAAAAAAAAAACTTGACAAAGACAACAGCAGCTTAATGCGATGACTGTCAGATGACCTTGAAAGTTTGGATTGGCCAAGTCCCATTTTACAGGTCAGTGATTCATTTTCTGAACAATATTCCACATGACTTTAAGAGCTAATAGGGGTGAAAATATGTAAAGCAGAAAAATCTTATCAAAATTCTTCTCATACACATAAAAGCCATCGCAAGAGAGGAATAACGTGGCCACAGGGACATGTCTTTCTTTTTTTCCTTTCCCATAACTCCTACCAGATCTTGTACTTTTTTCTTGCCTTCAATCCTTCTCCTGCTCTGTTTTTCTGTCTCTCTCCATCTCACTCTCCCTGTCTCTTTTTCTGAGGGACCATGCTGAGTCCCTCCCTGCTGATTATTAGACATAAGCCTGCGTTCAGCGGAGCCTGAATCCTGTGAGTCATCTTACCTCCACCATCTCTTCACTGTAAGCAAATCTCCACAGACCCGAGGACTATGCAGAGCCCCCTCTGTTGCAAACATTTCTCTCCGTCTACAACCAAACTAGGCTAGCACTCAGTTGGACATACTCAATAAATGTTGCTCTGCCTCTCTTGCTGCATTTATACACTGACTCTTCTTTTCTTTCTCTTTCTCAGAGATCCACAATGTTATTGTTTTCCTATATTATAAAGATATATGAAGTGGTTTAATGCCACTTGAAATATTTAAATCCATCTGGGTAATGAATACTTAAAACACTTGCCTAATTGTATATCCTTGGCCACTTCATAACACAGGGTTAAAGCTGCTGTCTCCATGGCTACAGCCTACAGTACCACAGGCTGCATCCACTTAAACACAAGTGCCTCTGGTCTGATCATGCATTAGTCCATGGATAATTTCACATTGGTCTGGCAGCACTGAAACAACACCTACATTGTTTTTCTGTTCCATTAAAATTTCTGCCCAACATCGAACTCGTCAACTCCAAAATGAACAGTGGTGACGGAATCCGGAAAAGGGCAAGGCGAAGCTTTCTGACACAGTAGTAGTGTCATTGAATACACTTCCTGATTCCTTCAGGCTACAGGGAGACACTGTAAAAGCATCCATGCAGTGTGTGTGCGTGTGTGAGCATTAATCCAAGCAAGACTGTTATTTGCAGTACTTGTTTGCTTAAACATTAAAAATGAAACATGACAT